TCAAAATTCGATCGGGAAGGCAGTCAAATAAATCCTGTAAACATACTGCACATTATATGTGCGCAGAAAGCGCCATATTTTTCCAGGATTTATTTGACTGCCTTCCCGATCGAATTTTGAGCTGAAATTTGGTATGGACAAACTAGACTTGATGAGGAACATGCTCAAAAAATTTCATCAAAAAATTCCACTGGGAAGACCCTCTGATGGGCTTGTCCGCACGGGGCTTCTCTTCAGGAGCTCCTGATGTGAACTGCCCTCCTCATGCTATAACCATTCAGTGCTCTCTTACAAATATATACTAGGAACTTCTTGGATGGGAGGATAAACACCAACTCTCGCTTTTATCTTCCTCAAGTTCTTCAAGCTTGTAACGAGTACGGAGTACGAGTGAACAAGAATTCATCATAATATCCACAAATTAACATCCACAAAGTCTAACTAAGAAAAATATAGACAAATATGCTCGGTGCATTTATACATACACAAAGAAATAGAGAATATTACCCGAAATACAACTAAAAAGGTTTGAAAATTCCAAAATAGGACTGCTATATTTTTATTTCCAAAATAGGACTAATAAGTGTCATGTTTTGGAAGTACCATATTTCAAACATGACAATATTTTCCAAACTTGACAGTAATAACTCCTATTTTGGAAATAAAAAACATGACAATCCTATTTTGAAATTACCAAACTGTTTTAGTCCTATTTCGGGAACTTTCCCAAAGAAATATGCACGGTGCATGTAATAACTCCTATTTTGGAGTAATAACTCCAAAATAACTCCTATTTTGGAAATAAAAAACATGGCAATCCTATTTTGAAATATACACACAAACACACACACGTACATGTAAATAGGTCTGTCAAATGGGTCGGGTATGGGTCGGAACGCAGTGTTCCAGACCTGAACCCACTAAGTTAATAATGGGTCCGGACTTGACCCGTTCACCCGGCGGGTCTGAAAATTTGGACCCGGACCCAAACCCAACGAGTCTCAGAATTGGGTCGGGTAGACCCGCCAAATATGATATGCACACCATTGTAAACTTTGTGAAAATAACATGGCATGTAAATGAAATGTAAAGCAAAGTGCGCAAACTTAAAAAAGAAAGATTTCTCATACAAAATTAGTACTTTTATCCAAATATCCAATATAGTATCGGTTCTTGTATAGACGTATAACTCCATAATTTGTGTCGCTTTCTCTCGCATGGAAAGCTAATAGAATAGAATATTGCGAGTATAAAAGCTATATATATATATATATATATATATATATATATATATATATATGATAATGATATAATAATATTAATATTACTAATATTAGATATTAGGATTTGCCTATCGGTCCTAATACACACTTTATCAGGATAAACGGCGAAAATGAGAATGAGTTTTAGGGTATCGCACTATCTCGATCAGTATCACTTATACAATATGTATGTATTAGTGTGTATATTTTAAATTGAAGAATTGCAACTAATAACTCTATGTGTTGTTATGTATACGCTAAAGGGTCAAATATGCCCTCAAACTAACTTTAAAAGTGCAATTCATCCCTTATATCGGAGGCTCTGTCCAGCCGTCACCAATTGGGGCGGTTCCCGGTGAAATTTTTTGATGAATTTTTTTGAGCATCTTCTTCATTAAGTCTAGTTTACTCATACCAAATTTCAGCAAAAAATTCAATCTGGAAGGCAGTCAAATGAATTTTTGAAGAACACCGCGCAGTTAAACAATGCAGGACATTTCAAAAAATCATTTGACAGTCTTCCCGGTTGAATTTTTATCTGAAATTTGATATGAGTAAACTAGACTTAATGAAGAAGATGCTAAAAAAAGTTCATGAAAAAATTCCAACATGAACCGCCCCAATTGACGATGGCCGGACAGAGTTTGCTATATAAGGAGTGAATTGCACTTTCAAAATTAGTTCGAAGGTCTATTTGACCCTTTAGCCTTATGTATATATGTGTGTGTATATTAGTTTGTATTTTTTATTTGAACGGGTTCGGGTCTCTAACGGGTCCCTAACGGGTCGGAATCATATATAGCATACCTGACCCGTTTATTAAAAATACTAACGAGTTCGGATCTAGGTTTGGGTAAACGGAATATTATATAGAGCCATGCTCGTTAAAAACAACCGGGTCCGGATCGGGTTCGGGTCAAGGCCCGATCCATTGACAGGCCTACATGTAAATCTATGAAAAAGAAGTTTTTTGAAAAGCATTAATGTAACACACATCACTGAATTTTGTTTAAAGAAGAGATAGAAGATTAATAAAAGAATTTATTAAGAACAACGCTTAAAAAACAAGTTGATGACAATTAAATGAATTTAGAAAGAACAATGAAACTCAAAATAGCTTACGAAACCATACATTACGAGGCCGTTTAGTAACACTGTTTTTTCGGCTTATCAGGCTTATCAGACAACTTTTTCACTAAACACATAACTTTTGCTTTCACGCGCTGAATTGTGTAATAAGCAGAAAAAGTAAGGTTGAAGTTACTTTTTTGGCCGAAGTTACTGTAGATGACCATTTTAGCTATTTTTGAAAATAAATTTTTCTTAAATCAGCAGAATCAGCCAATGCAGCCAGAACTTTATAAATTTTAGTAGAATCAGCCGATTTTCGTGCTACCAAACGAGTTTGCAAACAAGTTCGTAATATATCGCAAATTATACCCTACGACCGGTATACCAAGCGCATGGTATACCGGTCCACTAAACGGCATCATTTTATCTATTAAATACTCCGTACAAAACAACCTGTCGAAAAAGCAGAGCAACCTTGCGCCGCAGCAGTGCAGCACCTACCGGAGCCACCGAGTGGAGCACTTCAATCTCTCCTGACTCCTGAGCATCGTTGGTCTTCAATTTTTTTTTTTTTCAAAATTGAAAAGCATATCTCTGCTAAGCTTGTTGATCTTCAATTTTTTTTTTCAAAATTGAAAAGCAAATTCAACCTAATGCATATCTTTTGTTTTGATTGAAAGTCTAATGTGCTTAATAATCAAATTCAACCATATAAATTTCTCTATTCACTTGATGTCAACCGATGGAATTAATCCCTGTGTGTGTGAATTACATCTTCTGAAGCGTGAATTACATCATCTGAAGCGTGAGTTACATCTTCTGAAGCGCGAGTTACATTAAGTCTTGTCTTAACAAGTTACATTCTGTATACACCTAAATTACATTTGTCATCAATGCGAGTTACATTTGTAATAACATGAGTTACATTACACAACCCAATAAGCCCATGCTATTTAAATAAAAACTTTTTTATATAAAAAATCATTTTTATAACCTTGATATTAAAAATAAAACATATACACTCTTTATATGTAACATAATTGGACAATTAGACTCTTTATTTTCATTGAAATCAAATTTTATTTCTTATACTTTGTATTTGACAAGCTAAGTTACATTTTAACTGGACTTGAGTTACATTTATTAATAACGCTAGTTACATTTCATTACACACGAGTTACATTTCATTACACACGAGTTACATCACATTCTGTTCCTGAACAATGAAAAACAAAAAAAAAAAGTTACTGTTCACGCGCGTGAACAGTAACACGCGAATTTTTAGGTTGGAGCAGCATGCTTCAAACGACGCCGTTTTGGGCACAGGAGCCCGCGGGTTGCAGCGTATACGCACTGGTAATATATGAACAGAGAAGTCGTTTTTTGAAATTTCGAAGCAATGACTTGCATGGCCTCAAATCCTTTCAAGTTATTTGCTCCGTATATGTATGATGCTTATAAACGTAAAGTTGTTTCTCAACACAACACCAATGTCTTTGTGTTGTTTAAACTTTAAATCACGTAAGAGATGCATATAGAATTTCTTTGTGTGAAAGTTACGAAGAGAGACATGAGTAACTTATCATTACATAAAAATTAAAAATACATTTACCTCTTGGACTGTGCAGATATGAAATTGGGAGGAAAAATATGTGAGTTTGTGAAATCAGAGTAGAAATTTGTGAATTTAAAACTACTCAGTACTCACTACATGAGAATTGATAAGGATGGGAAGGGGGAAGGGGAATAGGGGATTATGAGATGTCTGGATGAGTAGAGGGGGTGTGAAAAATGAAGTTGGTGGGGATGGGAAAATTCCAGACGAACTACCACTTTAAAATGTACTCATTCCGTCCCATCTATAATAATTTACCAAACTTTCTTTTTATTCGTTTCCAAAATTTTGTCAAAATAACTAGTCTGTGTGGTTCAACTCTTCAACCGTAAAGCATTCATTTTTCTTGATTCACACCAAACACAAAATTAGCAATACCTAATGGGACTATAGTAATACTTTAGTATGGAGTATTAATGAATTGCTCTAAATAGGACGAAAACATAGACAAAGTGTACAACTAAGATCACTTTTTGGATCTATTAAAACTAAGAAAAATTCCTGAAAATAGGTGTAAAAAACTTTGACAATTCCAAAAATAGAAGTAATTATATACTGTCAAATTTAGAAAATACTGCAATGTTTAAAGTCTGATGCTGCCAAAATATGATAGTAATTAGTCTTATTTTGGAAATAAAAATATGATACTCCTATTTTGGAATATAGGAACGTTTTTGTCCTATTTAGAGCAATTTCCCTTAAAATTATTCTTAGCCACTTACAATTGAATGAGTTCCATTAATTTATGGAGAAAACAATGAAAATTTTATTTGTGAGCTTTGTTTATGTTTTAATTATATTACGAGATTTTTCTCTACAACCGTGTATGTGAGCCTGTTTGAAAAGATTGAAATTGGTTAAATCTATTGAAAATGATCAAAATTTTAACTGAAGCGGCTGAAATCAACTGGATGTGGTGAATTATAGAAAAAATATATTTAAAATAATAATTATGTTTTACTAATAAGGTAAAGAAATCTATAATACATAAAAGCATAACAATTTTTTCCCGCCTAACACCAGAAACATCCCAGCCGTTCGATTGAAAACATCTTCGCCCTTCTTATCCCCTTCCCCAATCTGTTCACTCCATTCACCCGTAATAGCTTTTCTCCCCGTCATTTCTCCTTCTGCATTCATCGTGATCGGAACCGGGCTCTCTTTCAGTCTCCTCCATTCCTCCCTGCATTATTATCCATTAACGATAATAATGGTCTTGGTTGAGGATCGGAGGCAATTCACCCGCAGCGGGGCACCATCTAGGTTAAATACAGTGCGAATGTGCGATTAAAAGTTTATCCAGAGCTTGCTTTCCAATTGCATCTATGGATTCCATATTCATCCCGAATTAGCTTTCTCTTCTTTACCAATATTACCTCCATCGCCCAGCCATATAACACGAAGTGAGCATAGAACTTCTCAATTATTTATTATGTTCTCATTATTTTTAATATGCAATCGATTAAAAAATTATTCATCTTTGTATTAAAAAATCGATTAGGGCTATTACATTTTAGGTTAGCTTCATTCACTATCAACTTCTCTGAATCTCCCAAACTGCGTAATCCTCCCCCCTAAAAATTTATACTTGCTTCTTCAAGAGTTTGTTCAATTTAAGTTAATCAAGTATTGCTAATAGTTACTGATTTTGCTGAATTTTGTCTATTTTTGTTTCAATTGTCTTTTTCTTTAGTATAAATTTGATGGATTAAATTAGGGTTCCTTCTTTCTGTTTTATTAATCACACCTTACTCGCTAAATATTCTTTACCAGAATTGCTAGATATCCTAGATATCCTGACAATTCGAAAGGACAAATACAGATAAACAAACATGTTTATATATATTCAAGTACCGATTTAGTTAAGAACATCTTAGTTTTAATTTTTCATTTTCCAGTGTTATTTAAGGTAAATTATGTATTGGTTATAAATTCATTAATTTGTTCATCTTTTTTGAGTTCACTTGCAGACTGTCTAGAAGTTTCCTTGGTATTGATTCAGTAAAATGTCTTAAAACTATACATATTGTTACAAAATTGGAATAAGGCATAAGATTACTGAAAATTTGCTTACAAACTAAGCTTATTTTAAAGATTTAGCTACACTACTTATGACATTAAGCTATCATGAAAAGCTTAATCAAATTCAGAACAGAGAGACATAGGTTGAAACACAGTGACATAGGCTAAAGATTTATAGCATCTCACTTAAGATTTCCTTACCGAACTGAGCTTACTTTAAAGATTTAGCCACACTACTTATGACTACTTATTTTTAGTCATATTTGTTCTTACTTTTCCTGTTTGACAATGGAACAACCTTATACGTTTTATTCAAAAAATTTAAACCTTATAGTAAAAAAAAAGAAGGAAGGTAAATCTTTCCTTTCTGTACTGATACTTCTTTCCCATTTATGGAGTTTTTTGGAATTTCGTTTATATCCATTTAAAAATCTTTATTGGAGTGCAAGCAACTTTAATGATTTACAAGTCAGGCAAATCTCTCTTTTCTTTCTCATTCATGTGTTTAGCTACACTTGGTATATCTACTTTTGCTAATAATAATAGATTACTAAAAATTATTCCTCACGACCATACCTTATGTGTATTGACACGTTAGTTAGTTCATAAATTAAGAATAAAAACAAGAGTTTCAGCTAATCGAATTCCCTTGGCTAAAAAGATAATTTTAAAAATATTTTCTCTCCTCTTCGGATTCTTTGGTTTTGTTTCGGAAATATTCTCATGTTAGTAATTTAAAAACGTTGCTATTGTTTCGTAATGTTGGATTCTCCATCATTTGCAATGGAGCCAAAGATTCATTATTTTTTGACTTGAGAATATGATGGAATAAAGCAAAATGGCTCACTAAACTGTTTGCGCTTCTTTGTTATGAAGCAGCAGTCATCAGTCCATGTAATTTTGGGATTTGGACGCGATTTTCACTATGGGTCATCCGGAAACAGTCTCTCTGTGCTTTTTAGGACAGGCGTAAGACTGCCTACATCCGACCCCCTTACCCCACAGTAGGTGGGAGCCTTTGCGGCACTGGGGTAAATGAAAATGATGATGATGATGATGAAATGTTGATGTTTCGTAAAGTATCAATTTGTGGAACTTATGAAGGCTAGCAGCAATCCCAGCAACAGTCAGAAACAAGAGAGCAGAGGGAGCATTGATTATTGATATGCAGGCCTTCAAAGAGGTGGGTAGCTCTTTTCCTTATGATTATGATTCTTTCAAGCAATAAGTTTGTCTCAAGAAACTCCATATGCATGTCTAAAGAATCCTACCCAGTGAGTAATTCTTATCATCCAATTTAGAAAATGATCAACTTCACATTTCTGTTGATAATTTTTGTTGTGAATCTCAATTCTCAAATCTCAATTCGAAAGGTTTAGATTGCTATAGTCTACATCTACTTAAATTCACACATACAAAAGGATGAAGTATATAATATTTAAAAAATACGGAGTAGTATAGAAACAAATATATTGCTGATAATGAAAAGTGAACATAATGTAATTTTTTATTCTTTTTGTTCCATGTTTTTTCTACTCTAATTATTAATTTCTACTACTTTTAATATTGGTGAAAAATCCATGTAAATATTAAAAATGAAGGGAGCAATATCTAAAATATACTTCTTCCGTTTGTTAAAGTTTGCTACACTTTCCTTTTTTTTGGATGTATTTAAAAGTTTTTACACTTTCCTTTTTTGGTAAATATTTCCTTTAAAATACGCAAGTACCCTGATTTTTTCTACTTTTTATCTTTTCTTTCATACTTTTCCACCTCTCACACTTTTTCTATAATATTCATCACCCTTAAATGTTGTGCCCAAACAGAAATATGATAGTGAAAGTAGTGCTGGACTCGGGCCGGGCGGCCCGGCCCGGGCGGCCCGGCCCGGAACCGGCCCGGTGGGTCCACCGGCTCGGTTCGGCCCGGCCTGGCTGCTGGGCGGTTCGGGCCCGGGCCCAGGTTTTGGTGAACCGGCCCGGCCGGTTCGGGCCCGTTCCGGGCCGGATTTTTTTTTTTTTTTTTTGAAATTTTTTTAAGTTTTAGGTTGGATTAGGTATTTTGGGCCATTTGAGGTGGTTTGGGATGGTTTGGGGTTGAGGGGGAGGGGTAGGGGATTAAATAGGAGAACAAAAAAAAAACAAAATTAAGTGGGCCGGTTCGGCCCGGCCCGGCCCGGCCCGGTTTGGCCCGGAACCGGGACCGGAACCGGCCACCGGCGGTTCGGGCTCGGGCCTCCCTTTCCTGGCCCGAGGCCCGGCCGGGCCCAGGCCCGAACCGGGCCCGAACCGGCCCGAGTCCAGCACTAAGTGAAAGAAAACAATATTACCCGAAATAGGACTAAAAAGGTTTGAAAATTCCAAAATAGGACTGACATGTTTTTATTTCCAAAATAGGACTAATTACTGCCATGTTTTGGCAGTACCGGACTTCAAACATGGCAGTATTTTCCAAACTTGGCAGTAATTACTCCTATTTTGGAATTTTCAAACTGTTTTAGTCCTATTTCGGGAACTTTCCCAAGAAAAAAACAAAAAAGTAGGGCAAAAGTTTCCAAATATGGAAATGTATTGAAATGTGACAAATAATGAATAGCTTCTCAAAAATGAATAAAATAGAATGGAGAGAATATATCAAAAGTGATCTATATTTAAAATCGGTGGTTTTTGAAATATGATTTTAGTGGAGTAATAAATTTTTTGAGTAACCCATTTTTTAGTAGTTTATAATGTTAACCATATTTTTCAAGTTTTCCTTAAAAACCCATATTTTTCAAGTACAAGTAAAATAAGTATAATTCAAAAATATGGGTTAAAATGAACAAAAAAAAACATCTACATTGATGATTGTAAAATACTCCGTAATTAAGAGGGATTGCACGTGTTCAACGCACGTGGAAATGATTCATTTTGAAAAAGGTTGTCACTGAAGAAGTGTTTATAAAAAATAGATCACAATAAATTTAGTTTGTAACGTGTGTTTATTAAATTTCTAATATTTGTTATTAATTATTTACTATTTTTCACATTTTTGCGATAAAAAATACTGCGTAATATGATTTACTGTGTATAATTGAATTTATATTTTACAAGGTAACATTTATCATATTTGTATATTACATCCCGTGCAACGCACGGGTGAAATACTAGTGTTAGAATAATTAAATTCTACTAGTTCTTTCTGTCCACCATAGACAAAAGATATTCATGAAGATTTTGGGTAACCATTCTTTCACGGACTTTAATGAGGGGATATTATTTCTATGATCAACATATATGATTATAAAGACCACAATATCCCTGCTGCGCACTCTAAGCACGCAAACACCCTCATTTCATTTGATGAAGTCAAACGATTTGACTATTTCATCAAAATTAATATTTCAACTCCTGATTTAGAATTTGACTTGGATACAAAAACCTTCAGGTTGTACCATGTACACCTCCTCCTTGAGGTTCCCATTAAGGAAAGGGGTTTTGTCATCCATTTGTCAAATCTCATAATCATAATATGTAGCTATCACAAGCAAAATCCAAATGGACTTGTTTGTATCCAATGGGTTCAACCCAACAGGCAAGTCAACCAAGTTCCATACTTGATTGATATACATCAAATCCATTTTAGATTTCATGGCTTCTCGCCATCACTCTAAATCAATATCTAATATTGCTTTAGTGTAGGTCTTAGGTTCATTCTTATCAGGAACATTTACACATCATGATCCTCCATGAGAAAGCCAATCTAGTTGATTCATGACAAATCCTAGTAGACCTACAGAGTTGAATATTTAGTGTTTGTTCAGACTGTTCATTCTGATTGTGAAGAGGTTCTCCTTCATTGGACTATCCATTGCTCGGAGAGTTTTCTGGTCCTACATTCTAAAGTGTTTCCAGAGAAGGAGAATTGAGCGCAGAAAGAATGACAACCATGTCATCTCTTACTTTAATAAGAATCACCTGCTCGTGCGAGGTGATTCCTGTGTTACTCCCACTAGCTGAAAGACATCCTCCTAGAGACATGCTTCCACTCAATTCTCCCAATGAATCCTTGTTTTAACTATCTAACAAGTCTTCGTCCTCTATATTGTTTTATGATTCTTGAACTTCATTAAGTTCCATCCTCCCACAATTACATTCCTTAAAGACCAAGTCTTGTACTAGGAATCTCGCTTGTCTGGAAATATGATTTTATATCCCTCGGGAAGATAAATTAGTATCCTCTAGTTTCCTTAGGATACCTCACAAAATAATATCTCTCACTTCTAGGTCCCAACTAGTCAATGTCCATTTTCTTCACATAGACGTAGATGTAGGATAACTTTCCATTTAGGATGAGAAAAGAAATAGTGTATGTGGCTCACATACACTATTTTGATGTAGTGTTCTCTATAAAGAAATATTATACAAAAAAACTAAAATGTTGGTAACTTACACTAATTCAACCAAAAAAATTACTTCAACCTAAGCAATTTTGATTTTTACAAGGATCAACGTGCAAAATAATGAACATGATATAAATTTTCAATTTTTAAAATTTTATAGAAACTATAACCATGAATTTTATTAAACGATATGATGTTTATAAAGAATTCGTAGCAAAATATTACCTATTTTACTTGAAATTGCTATAAAAATCAAAACTCTTTAATTTCATGCTTAACCTGTTGCTTGAAACTAAGATTTTTAAAAGTGTGTAATCCTTCTAGTACATTTGTGTAAGAACTATATATTTTGAAATAGTACGTAGTATATGCGTATTACTTACTACTCCGTATTATAGATTCTGCTCCCTCACATGCTGGCATGGGCGGAGTTAGGGGTGGGCCAACCCAGGCCCTGGCTCATCCCTAATTTTAAAAACGACTTAATTTTTAAGGTAAAAAATTTCGTGTAAAAGTTTTTCTAAAAATATTTTTTGTACCGGCCCAGTCTGACTCAGTGCCCTGGTTCCGCCCTTGATGCTGGGTATTTATTTAATCAACTGCAAAATGAATGGCTGGCGGCCAACCTACATTAATTGTAACATGATTCTTCAATTGAAAGTTTAAACATGCACGTATCCTTGAACATGCATGCATGCTATATGAATGATGGAAACGGATCATCCTTCTAAATTTAATTTATACCTGATGGAGGATGCCAAAGCAAAGTGAAAATTCAATTTTTGAGGGCCGAAGTCTTGATTTCTGGCATAACACTCTCCACCCATAGAATCAGAAATCATCCAATTCGCATCTGCAAATGACGTACATTCAGCTAAGCAATTTCCTCTTGGAAATCTCCCCATCAAGGGAATTTATTTACCAATTAACATTTCGATCTCCACTGAATATATACGTTGTCGCAGGGGAGCAGAATGCCGGCCTACATGTCATTGCTGCATAGGCAGTTCCAGGCGATGGCGGCTCTCCCTTCCGCTGTCGAAACTGATGCATGCTTCAAGTCTAGCTGGATCGGTAAATATTACCCCACCGTTGCCTAGGAGCAAAATAATAATGTCATTGCGGTGGCACTTGCTAGGAGACCGACCACTCACACGGTTCACTATATAAAATTCAATTAATGTTTAAACACGATTAATAATTATATATTGAAAGGTGCATTAATACTATCTGTCCGCTGCACTCATCCTATCATATCATTACGAACATAATAATCTGGAACATTTTCAACAACTTTGGGTGCGAACTTGTTGTCAAACCAAATCTGCATTATGCCTTATTTTTTTTATGAATTTTTATAAATACCAGCTCAATATGGTAAGCCCGATTGAAGGTGGGCTTAGCCCGTAAATGATATGGACAAGACGAACATGGACATCAGGCCCAAGGAAGTACATGGTCAACATACCCGGGATGAGAATCATGGAGTCACATTTACAAAGATATGGCGCGCTGAGCATGACGTGGTCTTTCTTTACAATGGGGCTTAGACATGACATGCTGAGCACGACACACTCTTACCTCTACCATGGGATTTGAATATGGCCTGCTGAGCATCACATGGTGAGCCTCAACGCGTGTGGTGCACAAGCGCTTAGACCATCGCACATGCATGATGCTACTTCCCAGAAGCTACGTGACCAATACCAAATCTCGAAGATCACGGGTCAACTCGCAATCAGTCCTACAAATCAAAGAATGGTGGCGCGTCAGTTCAGGCATGGCGACCACGTCGCCCGGATATTTCTTGTCTCCATTTTGTATTATAAATTCATGTAACTCTTATTATTCCGAGTTTTGGCTATCAATACATTGAATACACTGAATATACTACATACATTGAATACACTGAATACACTACATACATTTATCTCTCTAAGTATTATTCCGAGTGCTTTAATTATTTTTGGCTATCTATTAATTATTTTCCGGTGGATTTACTTCCATCATTTTGGTGCTTTCATTGAGAGCTGAAGATACACTCAGGCAATTTCAGACGTGGTAATAATGGCTACTACTAGGGCTGAGAAGGATGTACCCGCTGATGGACACACTGCGTCCAACTCATCGGGTCAGGGTCTTCATAACTGACTCTGTCGCCCTGCGGTGGTTCCCGTAGAAGTGCCTGACGTCCATGGTGCCATCCTAGGGATGACCAAGATGTTAGGTACTCTTGCGAAGGACGTACGCCGTGCAATTCCTGGTGCTCAAAAGCCTCCTCAACCACATGGAACTCAAGCTCCAACTAATCATCCGGTGGTGGAGATGGAGGTGACATCACCAGCGCCGTCTAAAAAAGATAGACAGAGAAGAGAAGGACGAGGGATCCCTGCCCCTTCGAACCAACCAACTCAAAGTGAAACCTCAGTGTTTAGCAGGTTGGGAGACCGACGACGCTCTGCTAAAGACCGTATCGGACGATCTCACCATGTGGAGAAAGAAAGGGATACACAAAACCACCGTGGACGACGCGACCATGATGAGGAGAAGCGTGCACAAGTTCCCAAAGTCACTCATGTGACTGCTAGTCACCATTCACTTGGGCACATGACTCAGCATATCGATGGGACTGAAAAACGTTCACAAAGACCGAGGAACGCAGAAGTAGAGGACGGTGGCAAGAAACATGTGACGATACGTAGACAGAACCGAGAATGATCCGAATGATGTGGAGGTGAGGAAGCTATGGAGAAAAATCGAGGACCTGCAGTGACGAGTAGATGCAAGAGATGGACACACAAACGTTAAACTGAAAACGGTGACCCCGTTCACCACACGGATCATGGCATACCCGTTACCGGTTGGCTTCAAGGTGCCCCATGTCAAGGCCTATTCGGGAACCTCAGATCCCCAGGAACAATTGTCACGTTATTACGCTAATATGATTATGATTGGGGCATCGGAGGAAATAATTTGCCGATGTTTCCTAGCTACGTTGGAGGGTACTGTGTGTGAGTGGTTCAATTCTCTCCCCCATGGCTCGATTGATGAATGGGAGGACTTAGCGCAAAGGTTTCTTCAACACTTTGCTGCGAGCAAAAGAACCAAGCTACACTACTCACACCTCCTGGCCGTGAAGCAGAAGAAGAGTGAGGACTTAAAAGATTTCGTGATACGGTGGAGGAAGGAGTCTGCTGTCGTGCATGGGGCGGATGACCAAACTCGCCTTGCCATGTTCCAGGCAGCGTTACGAGCTGGGGGAGTTCGCCTCAAGTCTCATTCGGGACCCGCCAAGGTCGTACCAGGCGGCCCTTCAGAGGGCCGACCGATACGCTGATGCGGAGATTCGAGAGGTGCAAAAGAAGAAGGATGAGTCATCGGAACCTTGGAGGGAAGGGTCTACCCCTCACCACAAAAAGCAAAAGAAAAACAGAAGAGATTTCAATTATGGTCCAAGGCAGATTTCTAATGCGAGCCCAGTGTCCCTAACCCATCCGGTGGGCACGATCATGGACTATGCCGAGCGTACAGGTCTCATGCAAGGACCGATGCCAGAGGGTGAAGTGTACGCTGTCTCTGGTGCTAAAAAGTATTGTCGCTATCACTGGGTTGATAGTCATGATACGGAGGAGTGCTTCACCTTGAAACGAGAGATTGAGAGACTGATCCAAAGAAGTCATTCGAATAATTTCGTCAAGGGGGCTACGCAACAACCCAACCATGTATGGAGGAAGTCTTCAGAACAAGTGGCGTGCACGCAGCAGGAGACACGCATGGCAGAGAAAAGGCATATCGGGAATGAGAGCAACGAGGAGGCCTCGGAAGAACCAGGGCCGAAACGGGAGAGAAGACACCATGACATCAATTTCATTTATGGAGGTAATGCGGGTGGTGACTCTTCATCCCTTCGGAAGGAGTGGGCCCGTCAATTGTATATTGGTGAGATCATGCACTCTCCAATGAAGAAAAAGGTACGACGTGAGCCTATATGTTTTACTGATGATGACCTACCACCATGTCCAAGCCCACACCGGGATGCCATGGTTATCAAAATGGAGATTAATGATCTTGTCATACACCGTACCCTGGTCGACACGGGAAGTTACGTGAACATAATGTACATCGACACTTTCGAGAAACTGAAGTTGTCCAAAGGAGAACTCCATCTGATCAAGACCCCATTGTCTGGGTTCACGGGTGACTCTATCGAGGCAGAAGGAGTCATCACAGTCCTGGTGGAAGTAGTGGACACGTCCTACAAAGTGAAACTCGACATGGAGTTCGTAGTCGTTCGATTGGCATGTGCACATAATCTTATACTCGGACGACCGGGGCTGGAAGATTTGCAGTGCATTGTGTCCCCGACACATCTCTGTATTAAGTTCCCAACACCGACCGGAGTGGGGATAGCACGCGGGAACCAGAAGCTCGCCCGAAGATGCTACATAAAAATCACAAAGAAGGTGGGGCGTCATGACCTCCAGGTAAACACTATCGCCACGCAATATCTACAGGATGAAGAACAAAGGCCCCGTGCTGAACCCGCAGAAGGGACGGAGGAGGCCACCCTTGACCCCGAAACACAAGGGCGGAAGATTAAGATAGGAACCAGATTGGGGACTGAGCTCTGCGCTGAAATCATAGCCGTCCTGACCATGTACCAAGGTGTATTTGCAAGAGGGCCAGAAGACATGCCAAGCATCAATAGAGACGTTATCTCTCATCGCCTGGACGTGGATGCCACGTCAAAACCAGTAAAACAAAAGAAGCGTTACATGTCCTCGGACAGGCGGGAGTTCGTAAGGAAAGAAGTGGGCACCTTGTTAAAAATCGGACATATCAAGGAGGTTAAATACCCAGAATGGTTAGCAAACGTGGTATTGGCACCTAAACCCCCAACATGGAGGATGTGTGTTGATTACACAGATCTCAACAAGGCATGTCCGATGGATCCATTCCCATTGCCTAACATCGACCAGTTGGTGGACGAAACAGCGGGGTGTGAGCTGATGAGTTTCATGGATGCCTTCAGTGGATACCACCAGATTCGCATGCATGAGGAGGATGCAGAGAAGACCTCGTTCATGACACCAGAGGGCGTTTTCTGTTACTTGGTCATGTCATTTGGTCAAAAAAACTTTGGGGCAACGTACACCCGCATGATCTCTAAGCTTTTCAGACCTGTCCTAGGCCGCACCATGGAGTCCTACGTGGATGATATGATTGTGAAGAGTAAAAAATCGAGCACGCATGCTATGGATTTGGCAGAGGTATTCAAAATCATGGAGAAATTCAATCTACGCCTCAATCCGAAGAAATGCACTTTTGCGGTGCAAGGCGGGAAGTTTCTAGGATACTTGGTGAGACGGAGAGGAATTGAGCCAAATCTAGGGAAGGTTAAAGCCATTCTGGACATGGAGCCTCCCCATAATGTTAAGGAGGTCCAACGATTAACAGGACGCTTAGTAGCACTAAACCGTTTCTTATCAAAACTAGCTGAGAAGGCCACACCATTCTTCCACATCATGAAGAAGTCAAAAGGTTTTGTATGGACTGAGGAGTGTCAAACTTCGTTCGAAGGATTGAAGCAATATCTCTTATCTCCTCCGGTATTATCTAAACCAGAGACGGGGGAGACCCTTTACCTATATCTGGGGGTCTCCCCGAGTGCAATAAGCTCTGTCTTGGTACGTGAGGAGGGTGGTGCTCAGAGACTTGTTTACTATGTCAGCAAAACCTTGAGGGATGCTGAGCTACGGTACACTGCCATAGAGAAAAATTGTTTTGTCAGTGGTGTGGACAGTCAAACGACTAACACAATACTTCCAAGCTCACCCCGTCCATATTTTGTCACACCAACCTCTAGGCGCGTTGATGAGGAGTCCCACAGCATCATCAAGGATGGTCAAATGGGCAGTATACCTTAGTCAATTCCACATAGAAGTGAGGCCACACCCTTTAGTCAAAGGGCAAGCTCTTGCGGATTTCATAGTGGAATGCACAACACGTGAAGAAGCGACAAAGACGAGGCATGAAGACCATGATTCCGAGTGGTGGATATTGTCCACGGACGGCTCCTCCGCAGCCAAATCTTGTGGCGGAGGAGTGGTCCTCACCACGCCCGAAGGCTTTAGGGCCTACTATGCTATCTGGTTCAATTTTAAAGTATCTAATAATGAAGCGGAATATGAAACTTTGTTATGTGGTTTGCGCTTAGCGGCGAACATGCGGGCGGAGAAGGTTAAGATCCGATGGGATTCAAAGCTAGTTGTGGGACAAATCACAGGCGAATTTGAGGCAAAGGAGGAACGCATGAGGCAGTACTGCAATGCTGCATTGGAACTCTTAAAATTGTTCATAGCTTATGAGATTGAACAAATTTCGAGGGGACAGAACGTTGAGGCCGACATGCTGTCCAAACTCAGTGCAGAGACCCCTGAGGCCGACAGAACGTTTATATAAGGGCTTATTTGACCTTTTTATGTAAGTTCGAAGGCCTATCTGACCCTTTCCCCTTGTTTATACAAAGATCATCTAAATTAATCTTAGAGTTGTTAGCAATTGTGAATTCATTCTTAAACACTCATCATGCTCAAGCGTTCAACCATGACTTTGCTCAGTAATACTTGATATTTCTTTTAATTACTTACTTATGTAGCTGGTGTAACTTCTGTCAACAACCCCGAGAACCATCTTCAACGGTTTGCATATCATCAGCCTATAAATGCTAGATCCATCCACAAAATTTCGAGGTAGATGGAATATAATAAATTATCAAGCCTCCCTTTTCTTCTCTCTTGACTCGAATTCACCTTTGTCGGCTTACTACTCTCCGATATACCCTATTTTCGGCGAGATATTTTTGGTTCTCCTACCGGCGTCCAACACCACAACTGCCTTAAAGGTAAAAGAATGACGGTCTTCTTGATAGAATGTCGATGAAGTAGCTGGACGCTTGATGGTGGGCTTCATCTGGCGAAATAGGTAATCTTGGACCGGATGAGATTCTTTTAGATAGTAAGAGCATAACCGGAAACCGGAAATAAATTAATACAAAAAATGTGTGGCTTTGAATAATAAAAACGTGGTTGTGGATAGAATTGATCTAAAAGATTTTGATCCTCATTGACTGCTTGCCAAGACATCACTAAAAAAAGGCTCGCTTTAATTTTTTTGCTACTAAAAATTTACTTTATTTTTATTTTTTTTTCATTTACTCAGCAGTCAGAACAATTTGTTCTATGAAATTTAAAAATTATTTACCCACATTTTATACTCTCTCCGTCCATGTTTTTTCTCCTCTTTTGACCCTACACAGATATTAAGATAGTAAATTTTGTGTGATAGAGAATTGTACAGAAGAGAGAAAATATGTAAGAATTATTGTGAACCACAAATTACTTACCAAAGAGGGCAAGAGAAATAATTCTGAAACAGACAAAAAAGAAAAGTTTGAAGACAATGTAAGGTATCCTAGGGAGGAAATAATTCAGAAGGCTTATTCATTAAAACTGTGGTGGAAATGGAAGAATCATACCTCTTTGTGGTCATCCTTTCTTAAAGCAAGGTATCCTAGGGAGGAAATAAGAGCCAAGGTGTCTGACTCATCAATTTGGAGGAGAATTTGTAACATTGATCCTGTGGCACAGGAGCTCTGCGTGGAAGAAAATGACGGTCAGTTAATTTGGACTCCTGCAAACGATGGTAGATTTAATCTTTCTTCTGCGTATAATGAGGTAAGAGATGTAAAATCCCATACATTCACTTATTCTCATATCTGGCATGCTAAACAACCTATGCAGATTAAAGTAGTTCTTTGGAAATTGTTACATGATTGTTTGCCAATTACTGACTCTTTACAAAGGTTCCAACTGGTCGTAAGGCCTTCTAGGTGTCCTATGTGTAAGAACAATTATGATACAATCACACATCTGTTCTATCAGTGTCCCTATGCAAAGGAAATTTGGAATTATTTTATGCATATATTTCAAATTCCTATTCCTAGTGGCCAATCCCAGGTAAGACAAATTATTATTCTTTGGTGGTTAGAAGCTGGGAACAAAACAATGGGTGATCTTTTCAAACATAATTTACCAGGCGTGATCTGCTGGTTTATATGGAAAGCTTATTCAGCTCATATGTGGGGATCTAACTCTATTCCTTTAAAGGAGAATCTGATTGCCCAAATTAAACACCATACCCAGATGTGGTCTGCGAGCTTCTCTAAGCTTAAAAGAAGAAAAATTGAGCCATACCTGTTAAGTGAAGGTTTGTTGACAAAGAATTTCAGATTTGGAAGACCTATGTTTCAGATTGTTCGATGGATTAGACCGAAGGGCAAAGATAAACTTAATGTTGATGCTTCTTTCTTACCTGGGAAATCTGCTGGAGGTGCGATTTTCAGGGATGACAAAGGCGAGCTAAGTTGGGCGGTTCACTTTCCGTTGCGAGCTCTGTCTAGCCAGGATGCAGAATGGCAAGCATTAGTATATGCGACGAAGATGGCGCTGGAGGCTGGTCACGTTGCTTTTCAGGTTGATACCGATTCCTCTTTATCTTTGATTAAGCTTTCAGACAATGTTGGAGGAGATAGATCGATGATAGAGTTCAGGGATAAGGTTGCCCGAAATGGAATCATTTTTGGACATACAATTAGGGAGGGCAATTGGACGGCCCATGCCCTATCTACTCTGGATTTGGGCTGCCTTAAAAAGTTTCAAAAGGTGGATGAGTTGCCTTACCCAGTCCGCAAGTTTTACTACTCAGATTATTTTGATTTTCCTTATTTTAGAATTTAAATTTTGTTTTCCATATGGGTAAGGTCTGGCCCCCCATTGGAGGTTTTATTGGTGATAATTTCCAGAGGTATGCCTCTGTGAGAGGCTTTGGTTTGGTCCTCCTCTCTCTTGTAATCCCTTATTTTTAATAAAATAACGGCAACTGACTCCCGGCATTTGCCCCACTTATTTTGGTGGTTTGCCTTCCGGGATAAAAAAAAAAAGACAATGTAAGGATCAATTAAACTGATCTCCAACTGAAACTTTGTTCAATCAAGCCCTTAAACTCATTAAAAATGGCAAATCACTCTTTTTAACCGGTGATAAACTTATTTAACCGGTTGTTTATCACTTTTTCCCATTTTTACTTTTTCCCTCTATTTTCCTTTTCCTCTGCCGTTCTCCTTCCACCCTCCCGTTCCAGCTTTGTTTCTTTCTTTCCTGTCAATTTCTTCCTCGGCACACACTTTCTCTTCTCCTTCCATAGCTCTCTGCTAGCTCGCTGCCATGATTTTCCTTTACTTTGTTTTCTATTTACTTTATTTCTTTTCCTTCCCTCTTTTCTTCGCTTGTTATTTTCTTCTTCCCCTGTATTGAAACTTGGGTTTCTTCTGGCTTGAATTCCTAACCCGACGATGCAACTTTCTGTCTTGAACAACCAAAGCTGCAACCCAATTTCACCGTCGACCGTTGCTCCCACCTCCCGGAACTTCCCGAACGCAAGCCATATAATCAATTTAGATGTTTTTTTAACCCTGGATTTAACTTGTGTTTCCCTTCTTAAATTCTAATGGTTGAAGCTTGGAGACCCGGTTTCAATTCGAGATTCCAACATCGATGGCAACCGACGGTTTTCTAGGGATCCAAATTGGCTGTGTTTGGGAAACGGCGGATCGGCCATTTTTGGCGTTTCAAATGAGTATGGCGGTTTGACTTTAATCAAACCGCTGAGTTGGGTCGTTTGGCAAACAGCTGCATGGAGCAGCGTATTGATCCCTGAAACGCCAAAATCAATATGCTGCTTGGAGCAGCGTTTAAGTTCGGTGGCTTTGAGTAAAGTCCATTTAGCCCCAATTCACTAAAGAGAATCACCGATCAACTAAAGCCGTAGGCATGTAGCAGACCCAACATACTCCATAATTAATAGAAAGTGAACTTCATTTTTATTATGGTGGGTCCTGTCCTGCCATACTACGCATGGCATACTAAATTACTAATCAATCATACATACACCAGATCAGTATACTAATCATGTATACTGTATATATACTAATCATATTTATTGTATACATATTTTATATTCCAAATCATTACACACTAATCATATACTACGTATACTGTATATATTATACACCAAATAATATAAAATGACTAATGATAAAATTTATGGACGAATTTGTTTAAATGAAGCCCTTTTGTCTAATTTTATTTAGAAACAGCTATATCCAAACCGCTAATTAGCCAAACATTTTTTAAACTATCCGCTAATCAAATCAGCCGGTCAAAACGCCAAATCAATCCGCCGGTCAAAATCGCTAACAAAACCCGCTAACCGCTAACTGCTAACCACTGTTTACCAAACAAGGCCGATGTATCCATTTGGTCAGCCAGAACGGGGTGATCGGAAGGAAACAAAAGAAAATGAAATAAAAAGGAAATGGGAAAAGAGCCAAAAGCCGGTAACACGGTTCATTAACGGTTAAGAAGAGTGATTTGCCACTTTTTAATGAGTTTGAGGGTTTGATTGAACTAATTTTCAGTTGAGGGGTTTAATTGATTTTTTTGAAAAACAGAGGATTTTATTTGATAGTTTTTCTTTAATGAATAAAAAAACAATACCGTCGGTCGGGGTATATATTTGGGTGCGGTATGGGATCCACCGGTTTAACCAACGAGGACCACACTCGCCGAGAGAGATTCGGATCGCCTCAAAATCCAAAGACAAGAAAAGGAAAATGAATTTGGCTTTTCCTTTGATAGGGATGCCCAAATTCAACATCATCTGAGAATCGCAATGACCACCGCGGAACTCCTTCATATCGATCCTTTAGATCTCAAGTTTCCATGTAACTTCCTCTCTTCCTTTCTATTCGACGTTGTATCTCGTTTTTTTGTGTAGTTTTTTCCATGACTCTTCTGCATTCTTTCATTTCATCAGTTGAGCTGAAGAAGCAGATCTCTTGCTCGATTCAGTTATCAAATATAAGTGAAAATCATGTCGCTTTCAAGGTGAATCAATTGGTTTTATGTGTAATCTGTTCATCAATGTCGCTTTCAAGGTGAATCAATTGGTTTTATGTGTAATCTGTTCATCAATGGGACGTATGCATTCTGTTCATGCATGTTATACTTATTAAATTGCCTTTTGTCATCTGAGTTTATTTTCAACTTTTTTTATTCATTTTCTAGGTCAAGACGACTAATCCAAAAAAGTACTGCGTTCGCCCCAATACGGGCGTTATTTTTCCTCGATCCACTTGTGATGTAGTAGGTATTTCTCTTCACACTCCCTCCACGTGTTTTTCTTTATTCTTTCAATTTTGTCTATCAAAACATCTGTGCTTAAATTAAGTGAAAGTGTACCATTTAGATATCTCATCTGTTGCTAAGTTGTAAATTAATGATTGATTTTTTAATAATAAATTCTGTGATTTTTAAGTAATACAATGGGTATTTGTGATTATTGATGTTCAAATTTTCCATTGTTTGTGTAGTAACAATGCAGGCACAAAAGGAGATGCCTGCTGAGATGCAATGTAAGGACAAGTTTTTACTTCAGAGTGTAGTTGCAAGTCCTGCGACAAATCCAAAAGATGTTACTTCTGACATGGTAATAAAAACACGTGAAGTTCTTGTTTTGACACGAATTTCCAAATGATACTATTCTGAAACAATTAAATGAACTTAGAGTACCGGCTTCCTTCAATTGAGTTACTCAAAAGGCATCAATGCTGATAGTTGGGGTACCATTTATACATTTACACAAGAAAATAGAATTAGTTGTTGGCGTTAGATTATGATGAATAGGCTATTTTGGCTAAGTATGATGATAAGCCAGTTTTTTCATGCCAAAGAAAGCCTAAGTGGGGGTTAAATTTGCAGTTCAACAAGGAAGCAGGGAAGTTAGTGGAAGAGTGCAAGTTGAAAGTCGTATATGTGTCTCCGCCTCAGCCACCGTCACCAGTTGCAGAGGGTTCAGAGGAAGGTCTATCACAAAGTCCAACCTTGACAGAGAATGGCAATGCAAACTGTTTCGAGGTTGTTTCTCAACTTTCCGACAATGAATCATATTTGAATTCCATTATGGGCAGCACTTCTAGCAGTTTTGTGTTAGATTAACGTTTAGCAATATATTGTAGTAAAAATTGATAATAGTACAGTGTTTGTTTCTCTCAGGCGTCAAGATCTTTTAGCGATTCATTTGACAAATCTTCTGAGGTGAAGTTGCTATATATTATGATCTCTTCTTCTTACAGTTGTTTGATGTGTACCCATTGCATACAGAGATCAATTTATCTTGATTGCTATGGTTCTTGTTGGGGCAACATATTGTTGAAATATTGATCAAGTATAATTGATTGACTAGAACTTTGGATCAATATCGAATTTCAGACAAAGTCACTTATTTCAAAACTGACCGAGGAAAAGCTTGCTGCAGATCAACGAAACAACAGGCTTCATCAAGAACTGGTTTGGCATTTAGCTTTCTTTTTGTAGTTCTTTTATTATTTGAGATACTTCATAGAATGGCATTCTCATTTAACTAGTTCCTCACTTCTTAGGCTTGCTCCAATTCTAGATACCAATAACTTGAAGCACAACTGTACAACTAGGACATATACACTGAAATGTTTGTGATTCTACTCTGGACCAATGCTGTAAGAACACTGAGCAGTATATTGGGGCCTGGCGCCTAATTGGGGAGTAATTGGGGCTTAGTTAGGATTAATGTGGGACTCAGTGGAACTTAAGGGTAGTTTTGGTTTTGTAGTATTGGAGGGGAGGGGAGGGGGAGGGATGCTCTACTTCCCTCATTTGGTAAAAAAACTGGAAGGAGAGGGGTTTATTTTCTCCCTACCGTGATTTTCTCTCCCTCCAGTATGGAGTTTCTTACATGGGAAGTTAAAATTCAAACCTGCAACAAAACCAATGAAGTAACACAAAAGCACTCCCTCCCCCTTCCTCACCATTTTTCCTTCCATGAACCAAACACACCCTAAATGGGTTGGAAACCTAGACATCCCAAGGTATCCAGGTGAGGATTTTTAAAGTAGTTGATGTAGTTATATCCTGATCAATATCCCCTCTATTTAGGAATCAGGAGCCCTGTGTTTGTGCAGTGAAAGAGCATTGGCTCAGATTGAGCTGAGACTTAAAATGTTTGTTTAAATATGATTTGAAATGTCAATATCTGGGCCCAGAGCAAGATAGAGTGGTGTTAAATAAACTAGTTTAAACTAACTAGTGCTACATGCAGGAGCTCTTGAAGCGTGACACCCACAGAAGTCATAGAGGTGGTGTCTCATTTATATTTGTCATCATTGTTGGTTTGCTTGGTGTGATCTTGGGTTACATTGCGAAGAAATGAAGGCGCACTTATTTTAGGACACATCTTTCTGTTTCCAACTTCCCTCCACGGAAATCCCAACATTTTCCTGTAGAAGATAGAACTATAGGGGGTGGCATGGAAAGAAATTTTGAAACCGTTAGCTCAACAAAACTCATCTCACGTTGGTGGTGGTTTTGGAGATTTTTTTTGCTCAGCTATTTGTTTGTTCATTGGTCTGGTCTCCCTCTGTTAACCCTTCCTTTTTATGCAAGTCCCAACAAGCATGAAATATTTTGTAAAGACTGCCCTAAAATTTTCATTCCAGCTGTTATGCCTCAAAATGCGACAATGATCATTACGTTTCCCCCCTGGCACCTTTTTATTATTTTGCAATTTTTACTGTGCACGTGTGTCAGGTGTGTGTATTAGGCTTGGACCCGGTTTGGGCCACCTGGCCCGGGAACCGGCCTGTCCCTGGAATCGGGTACCGGGTCTAGGCCCGGTTTGTAGGGGGTAAACGGGACGGGTACGGGCTGAGGTAAATGAGAACCGGCCGGGCCCGGGACCGGGCCCGGTTCGGGCCTTTTCAATTTTTTTTTGGTTTGGGGCTTTGGGCTGGGTTTAAATGGGTTGGAATGGGTGTTTCAGATGGGTTTGTGGGATGGTGGGTGGGGGGATAAAATAATCTAGAAAACAAAAAAATAGAACTAGACCCGACCCGGCCCGAGCTCGGACTGGCACCGGTCAACTTCCGTGCCGGTCCTGGGTCTCACTGCAATTTTTTTTGGCCCGGTCGGGCCTTGGCCCGGTCGGGCCTAGGCCCGACCCGAGACCGGACCCGGTTGAGTCCATGCCTAGTGTGTATGTAATGGCGCTTAATGAGTTTTGGGAGAAAAATAAATAAGAGCCCGTTTGGTAATAACGAAATTGGTTGTTTTGGCTGATTTTGTTGAAATTGATGAAGTTTTGGCTGATGTGGCTGTATTGGCTGATTCTGCTGATTTGTGAAAAATAATAATTTAAAATACATTTTATTTATAAAATAAAGAAAAAATTATATGAAAAAATAGCTAAAATGATACTCTACAGTAACTTCGGCTAGGGGTGGGCATAAAAAACCGTAACCGCTAAACGTATAAATAACCGAAAAACCGGTGTTTTTTTCGGTTAACCATTCCAAGTTATTAAAAACTTGCGGTACGGTTAACCAACCGAATGAAAAGACGGTATACGGTACAGTTACGGTTACAAATTAAAATTATCCATGTTTAACCGTACCACTTGAAAGCAAAATATATGTGTTAATGGTAAAGTACGCGAATGACTTACGAGAAACAAATACGTATAGCCTAAGAGGCTATGGTCTAGCAAAAAGTGGCAGTGGGGTGATTGTGGGGAGCTATATGCTTATTATTATTATTATTATTATTATTATTATTATTATTATTATTATTATTATTATTATTATTATTATTATTATTATTATTATTATTATTATTATTATTATTATTATTATTATTATTATTATTATTATTATTATTATTATTATTATTATTATTATTATTATTATTATTATTATTATTATTATTATTATTATTATTATTATTATTATTATTATTATTATTATTATTATTATTATTATTATTATTATTATTATTATTATTATTATTATTATTATTATTATTATTATTATTATTATTATTATTATTATTATTATTATTATTATTATTATTATTATTATTATTATTATTATTATTATTATTATTATTATTATTATTATTATTATTATTATTATTATTATTATTATTATTATTATTATTATTATTATTATTATTATTATTATTATTATTATTATTATTATTATTATTATTATTATTATTATTATTATTATTATTATTATTATTATTATTATTATTATTATTATTATTATTATTATTATTATTATTATTATTATTATTATTATTATTATTATTATTATTATTATTATTATTATTATTATTATTATTATTATTATTATTATTATTATTATTATTATTATTATTATTATTATTATTATTATTATTATTATTATTATTATTATTATTATTATTATTATTATTATTATTATTATTATTATTATTATTATTATTATTATTATTATTATTATTATTATTATTATTATTATTATTATTATTATTATTATTATTATTATTATTATTATTATTATTATTATTATTATTATTATTATTATTATTATTATTATTATTATTATTATTATTATTATTATTATTATTATTATTATTATTATTATTATTATTATTATTATTATTATTATTATTATTATTATTATTATTATTATTATTATTATTATTATTATTATTATTATTATTATTATTATTATTATTATTATTATTATTATTATTATTATTATTATTATTATTATTATTATTATTATTATTATTATTATTATTATTATTATTATTATTATTATTATTATTATTATTATTATTATTATTATTATTATTATTATTATTATTATTATTATTATTATTATTATTATTATTATTATTATTATTATTATTATTATTATTATTATTATTATTATTGAATTAGTTTGTCATGAGTAATAATACGAGGTATGAGTGTGTGACGCTTTTCATATAGGAAAGAAGAGGCCGGCACAAAAATCACAGGCTTCAGAGTTCAATTCAGACCTTCGCTACATAATAATACGGAGTGTACGGGTGTCGCTTAATGGGAAGAGGCAGCACATTTTTAATTGTTTAAACGGTTTTTCGGTTAACCACTTAATGGTTAACCTATATAACGGTTATGGTGTATCCAGTTAACCGGTGTTACGGTACGGTTAATGATATTGTAAATATACTAACCGAAACCACGGTTAACCATATATTGGTTAACCGAAATGCGGTTAACCATCCATGCCCACCCCTAACTTCGGCCAATACAGGCAGAAAAATAACTCCAATTTTACTTTTTCTTATTAATATACCATTTAGCCCGTAAAATCAAAAGTTACGTGTTTAGTGAAAAAGTTGGCTTATAAGTCTGAAAAGCCAAAAATAATGGCTACCAAACGGGCACTAAATGTTTTAGGATGCCAGTCATGCCACACATCCCACACTAGAGCTAGCCGCTAGGAATGGCCAACGTAGGGATTAGATAATTTGGGTAGAATTATCTAGGGACACATTATTGAAGACGGGTTGTGGTCACTTCGATGGTAGCTTGGGTGTTATTTTGATTTTTGAGCCAATTGGCGAATGATTGTTTGAACTAATATATTGATATTTTCCTAACAAGTTTCAAACAAATCAGGCGATAAATATGTTTGGTAAATCTCATTTCACAACATAGATACTATTTGGTTAGATTGAATAATAACAAGCTCTTTTATGGTCCTTCTGGCCCTTCTCCTGCAAAAACAAGCTCTTTTATCCGAACGTCAACGTTAGTGTCACTTTTAGCCCTTCTCAGGCAATAAAAACATCCTTTGTGTTATAGAAAAATCATCTTCACGCATTTGTTTCAATGGATGCACATCTCTCAACTTTAATTCTCCCTCCAGCTTATCCATTTTGTCTAACCAATTCGGTTTTCTTGAATCAATACCCATATATTATTGCTTGTCAATACACCACCAATCCATTTATAGTGCGCATTTGAACATTCCCAAAAACACGTTCGCAACCGGTGGGCGTAGCTCAACTGGTAGCGAGGGAGTGCCACAAGGGTTAGGTCTCGGGTTCGAATCCCGGCAACTGCGATGAGGGGTTACTATGCTGAAAAATGCATAGGGCCTCTGCAAGTACCGGGGACAGAGCCCCACTCTCTATCTGTCAGATTGTGATTATAGTCCAATTTACATCCTCCCATCGTGCCGTCCGGTCGGTGTTGGGGGGCCCTCAGGGATGGGGTGTCATCCTTTTTTTTTTTTTTAAAAAACACGTTCGCATGCCAGTCATCATAGGTACTATAGCCCTCCCTCACCTTCGAATAAAATTTAAAAACTAGCATTAAATGAAGAATAACATCTTCATTTCATAAAATCTTCTTGTTTAGACCACACAATTACACAAAGAATGTACTACATTCACGCCGTTCTTTTCTAACTTGTTGTAACCAAATTAATTAGTATGGAGTACATCATAGTTCAAATTATTCTTTTTAATAAATGCTTCAATTCATTTACGCACTCTATGAAGTCAATTAAATATATATGTGCCTCCTTCGTATCAATTTTATTTCTGAAATTCAATATATAGTTTGACACAATTGCATAATTGAAACAAAAAGTGCATAGTACTTTGTTGCTAAAAGTGCACGTCATATTATTCATGTTGACCCTGAACTATACAACTTATCTTTGCAATTACATATAGATCATGGTGCACATTTTTTATTAACACGAGCGATCGATGCACATTTTTAAAAATTGAAGAAATAGATCATACATTAAATGTGCATCATTAGTAAAATATAGGCACACTCTATTGAAAAAAGTGCATTAGGAGAATGTGGCAATGCACTAAACTAAACTTCGAACATGCGGAAAAGTACTAAAACACCTCATCCTTGAGGACCCCCAGAATCAATCACACAGTTATATGTGAGGGTGTAAATTGAGGTTTGACTACACACTAATCAAAAGAGGGTGAGATTATTCATGATTTCCAGTCCAAGTCTCTGTATCACCCCCTTCCCACCAGGTGAGCTACGCCTCCGGTGCAGACGACGCGAGTACTATGCTCTAGCTATAATCGATTTGAAACTCTACTTGGCCCTTGTAGCATGGCGGAAGCGGTGGCGGAGAGGAAGATCAAAATGTTGGAATAAATCTGATAATACTTTAATCTTCATACTGGAATTTTCTAGAGAATTAACTGAGCAGTAGTGTACCTGACTCCACAGGAGATGATCTTTAGATCCGGGAGACGGAGGCTAGGGTTTGCGTCTTCTAGTTGATACACACCCTTAGGAATTATCTCTCTAGCGATGGGATGCAGAAAGACGGGATGAACACGGGACCATAACTTGCACCCCTCTATTTATAGAGAATGCTTAATCCTAATCAATCCATCTTTAATGTAACACCCCCAAATTTCCCACCCAAATATTCATATATTTGCAATTAAACTGTTATTTATTGATAAAGTCATTTGAATATTACAGCGGAAGTATTATTAGAGAAATGGGTGTTACCGCCACATCCAGTCATCTCTTAACCGAATGGACAGGCAATTCCAAAACAAAACAAAGTAAAGCAAATATTCAACATAACTATGATGTTTATTCTTGACTAAGTTTGACTAAGGCATCTCTAAACCGATCTCAAGATCATGCAATCATCGG